TAAAAAACTGTGGTACATCTACACAATGGAACACTAACTGCTATAAAAAAGAACTCTTACCATTTGCAACAGCACAGATGGACCTAAACTAAATAAGCCAATCAGAGAAAGATAAATATTAAATGATCTCACTCATTTGTAGAATGTAAGGAACGACATAAACAGATGGAACAAAAATAAATCCAGAGACATGGAAGCATTGAACAGTCAACCTCAGACGAAAGACAGGGGAGAGGAGGAGGAGGGGTAAGCGGTCAACCAAAGTACTTGTGTAGATGCATATAAGCATAACCAATGGGCAAAGACAGTAGTGGGCGAGGCCTGTGCTGGAGGGTGAGAGTGGGCAGGAGAGGTCAATAAGGAAAAAGGAGACATATAATACTTTCAACAATAAAGAATTTTTATAAACACACAAAAGACCACAATCAGACCTCAGATATCCAGAGCCCACCTCCACTGCTGCTGTACTTGTCCCCTCAGCAGTCACAGCCAACATCTCTCCACGTACCCGTCACTCAAGTCCCAGCCCGGATGGCCCTCTCCACCAAGCCCAGTGACTCTCACACATGACCACTCAAGCCTCTAAGCTAACCCACAAGATTGACTGCAACACCCCAGGCCACACCAAGGGTCACAGCAAAACCCTGGTGAGTGTTTAGAGAATATGTACCAACTCTCATCTCCTCTTGTTGGAATTACTCTTCAGCCTCCAATTCATCTCACGTCCACTCATCTTTTAAAGGCCTTGGCCACTGGGAAACCATTCTCTCTCCCCAACACTCTACATGACCACTCTGTCCCTATGCTGTGCTGTGACACACACCTCCCACAAACAGGGGCCCCGGCAGGAAAGCCAATCCTTAGGCCCACACTGTCCCATCTGAGCAACTATTACCATTATCATCCTGATCATAATTCCCTATATGTTTTTAAATAAATTTTTATTGATTTCAGAGAGGAAGGAAGAGGGAGAGAGAGAGAGAAACATCAATGATGAGAACCATTGTTTGGCTGCCTCCTGCACACACCCTAGTGGGGATCGAGCCCGCAACCCAGGCATGCGCCCTTAACCATAATGTAACCCGGGACACTTCAGTCCACAGGTCGATGCTCTATCCACTGAACCAAACCAGCTAGGGACCCTATATATTTTTTAATTTTTATTGATTTCAGAAAGGAAGGGAGAGGGAGAGAGACATAGAAACATCAATGATGAGAGAGAATCATTGATTGGCTGCCTCCTGCACGCCCCCTACTGGGGATCGATTCCACAACCTGGGCATGTGCCCTTGACTTGAATCAAACCTGGGATCTTTCAGTCCATAGGCCTAGCTCTATCCACTGAGCAAAACCAGCTAGGGATGCCTAACCGGTTTCGCTCAGTGGATAGAGCGTCGGCCTGCGGACTGAGAGATCCCAGGTTTGATTCCGGTCAAGGGCATGTACCTTGGTTGCGGGCGCATCCCCGGTGGGGGGTGCGAGGGGGGGGCGGGGGGGGGCAGCTGAATCGATGTTTATCTCTCATTGATGTTTCTTACTCTCTATCCCTCTCCCTTCCTCTCTGTAAAAAACCAATAAAATATATTAAAAGAAAACTCAGCTAGGGCCCATGATTCCCAATACTGAGGTCATCTACAGCCCTGGCGGATGGGTCTCAGTTGCTTGAGCATCAACCCATGATGTACTGAGAGGTTGGAGGCCTCCGACCGGGTCAGGTCACATGCCTGCAACCGATTGATCCTCGTTTCTCCCTCATGGATGTTTCTCTCCCCCCACCCCCCCCCCCCACTCCCTGTCTATATCTAAAATAAATAAACGTATATATTTTTAAATGGACACCTGCCCGTTCCTGAACCACCGTAGTCTTCACTCTGAGCCGTTGCACATTCTGGTCCCTGTGCCTGGGAGGAACCCCCACCTCTCATTCCACTCGTTGCCAAAACCAGGTCCACGTCATAAAGCCCCAGCCGTGGCCTCAGGACTCTGGGCTGAGTGTCCCCAGCTCCCAGGGCGGGAGGAGGGGCCGACGGCCCAGGATCCCACGACCTCAGAGGCCACCAGAGAGTGAGGCCCTGACAGGAGCCCCACAGCCCCGTCCCCTCAGCGGCTCTGCACCCGCAGGAACCGGTGGGAACTAAAGCGCTGAGGGCCGGGCACCCACCCCAGGACCCAGGGGCTCCGGCTGCTCAGGGCCCTGGCCCCGCCCCGGGGGGGGTGATGCCCGCCTCCCTTGGGGCTCAAGGTCCCTCTTTGCTCACAACCACCCCCGGCCCCGGCGCCGGGAGCCGAGCAGAAGTGAACCTCTCCGGACCCGCCGCTCGTCCCTCTCAGTCGCCATCAGATACACTCCAGGCCTGGTGCCCCCTCCGGCTCAGCCCCCAACGCCTCCCCGGCGGCCCGCAGCCCGGCGCCCTCCTCCCTCACACCCGGGTCCCACGGAGACTCACTGCGCCGGACGCTGCGCCCTGGGCGGCGGGACCCGAGCGGCGCCGGCCCCGAGGCTGGACGGTCCGATGGGGTGAAGCTGAGGGACTCTGTCGGCGGAGAGGAGTCGGGGAGCCTCGGGGATCCCAGTTCCCGGCGTTGGGGCTCAACCAGCCTCAGGCCCGCCCTGCGCAGCGGGGACGCTGCCTCCCCCGACCCCTCCTTCGCGCCACCAACGCTCAGGCGCGCGCTGAGCCCCGCAGGTCCGTTACCGGAAGCCACACTGTCGTCCTCGAGGACGATACCGGAAGACCCGCCCTAACAGACGTTCAGGAACCAAAACGCTTCCACCTCAGCGGACGCGGGCGCAGTGCCTTCTGGGTGATGTAGTTTTCTCCCGCGGCCCTGGCTGTGACCTTGGGAAGTGAAGGTGACGGTGCTGCCAGGGGCGCTGGGGGAGGAGATGGGACCAGAGGCCGGGTTGACGGGGACAGACCGACAGGCCCCCCAGGGGAGGGGGTATCGGGAGAGACCCCAAAGGACATATGCACAGGGAATGGGAGACATCTCAACACCATCGACAATAAAAATTACACATTACATTTTATTACAAATATACAATAGAGCTCAGCCGGGGCCTTCTCTCTAGGCCTGTCCTTCCTCCTCGTGCAGCTCAGGAGACCTGCCGCCTCCACCTGCCCCTGCCCTTCGGACTGGGAGGCTGCTGCGTCTTGCGGGTGAAGGCACCCGGTTCCCGCCATGCAGGGCACCTGCGGCTCACACCCCTC